GACCGCCAACAAACTACACGCAATCAAACCTCTTCTAGGCGAGTAATAGAGTGCCCGACATCGGGAGCGCTTTTATGAAGTCATACTCTGTAGGTTACGAATCGGTCATACTTGTCTCACACATGGACATCTGTTGAGCGGGGAGGATGCCCCTGAATGTGTGCACTGTAACCTATCTCTAAGTATTATGCACATACTCATTGAATGCCCTACAGGGTATGACCAATGCCGGTATAAACACTTCTCACTGCTTTATAAAGACACATTCCACTACACCTTGCCCTACTACTAGGGGACGAACCGCTCATTCCATACAGTTGTGTTTTTAATTTCCTCACAGATATCGGCCTTCTACACCGACAGTGATTTTACTTTCTATCCTAAATTCATTGTCATATTTTTTACACTTATACACATTCATGTTCATGGTTTTATCATATATTACGCTAGTATAGCTCTTTCCTCTTCTTAAACCCGAATTGCAATAGTCTAAGCTTGGCGCAGTATAGCCTTAGTTGCTTATGCGCCATAAACATCCAATCAATCAATCAATCAATCCCCCCCCTTTTCTACTCCTTTAAACCAGGCCAGTCGCAAAAAGTTTGTTGCAAAAAGAGCATGCAGGGCTGTGTTCGACCATGGCGATGAGTTTATCCAGTGACGTGTCATCAAAAAATTGTTTTGTCGACATCCCAGTTGAAAATTCCCATTAGATTCCAATTGAAATTTCCAATTGGTAACAGCTAGGTTTTGGGACAACCAATTGGTCACTGCAATGGGAACCAATTGGAACCCATTAAGATTCCAACTGGAAAATTTTTTCCAATTGGTGAGACCCATTGGCCAGTGTGCTTCCAATTGAAACCCACTAAAACTAATTGGTTCCAATTAAAACCAGTTAGAATTTCAATTGGATCTAATGGGAATTTTCAGCTGGGATGCGACGCTTATTCATCATCGATTCGGTTTATGGAAAGGCTCCCTGCATTCGTTTTGTCGACACCCCTTGCAACGTTTTGCCGAATGCAGCCCCTCTGTTTTGCCCTGCAAGGGGCACCTGTGAAAGCAGGTGTTTGGAGAGTGGCGTCTCCACATACCCCGGGCCCGGAGGGGGCGCCTGCACCTTAGGTGCTAGGTGCTTGGTGAGTAGCGTCACCACGGACCCCAGCCACGTGGGCCACCATACCCGCATGCAGGGGGCACTACGTTAGTAGGTGCTTGGTGAATGGCGTTACTACGAACCCCGAGCCATGTGGGTTCGCCCACCCACGTCTGGCTGTGCGTGGCTTAACCCGTGTCGGGGAAAAGGGGACCCTGGTGGTTGAGCTGAGCCCGGGGTATGTTTGGACCCTTCGGGGCCCCCGGGCGAGGCAATACATCGCTTCGGCCCTTGCTTCTCGTAGACGGGTGTCCTGGCTTGGCCCGACCAGGATGATTCAGTCAGTCGCCTCTTCTACCCTCTTCTTCCTCTTATACAATCGTGTGCGCAACAAAGACGAGGACAAAAGCAGAGAAGGGGACACAACAAGGCGCAACTTTCAACTGAATTTTATTGAAAACGTGTTCCGGTATATATATAGTCTCAACCATCGTTACAATGACAAAAAAAAAAGACAAAAGTATAGGAAGAAAAAAAGGCGTTTTCGGTCGATGTGAAAGACCTTTATTACTCCCTCCCACATTCCGGCTTGCTGTTGTGTGTGGAGGAGTGCATCAACAAGTTTGGAGTAATAGCCTTTCAAAATGAGCTAGGGATATCAAGCAGCGGTTTTTTAGAATTACTTAGTTTCTATCTTCGAACAACTTTTATTCAGTGGGGAGGCAAGCCTTACTTGCAAAAACAGGGCATATGCATCGGCTCGTGTATCGCGCCTGTTCTAAGCGATATATATTTAGCACAACTTGACAGTACTCTTAACAGCCGGCTTCAGGGATCAAAGGTAAAAAAAGTTTTTAGGTACGTAGATGACTTTTTAGTTTTCATCGCATCTGACACAAACGCTTTTGAAGCAGAGGCTGTCAAAACCCTGACCACTTTTAAGGAATGTTTTGGCCCACTCGAGGTCACGCATGAGATACCTGTGGACAACACTATTCGCTTCCTTGACATCAGATTTTTATTTCTCAACGACCACATCTGTTGGTGCTATGAGCCACGTGCGAATAAGTCGTTACTTCCCTTTCATTCAGCCCACTCGAAGCTAGTCAAAAGGAGTATTGTTAACCTGTGTTTCACCAATGTACTAAAAAAGTCCTGTGAGCATTTGATCCCCCAGGGTTTTAATCAGCAAGTTTTGCGCTTGCTCGCAGCTGGGTATCCAAAACACCTTCTTGTTGCGGTCGCGGAAGGCCTTCTAAGAAAGCGCTGTCTCGTAGAAAACAATGAGAGCCAGCCGGTAAGACAAAAAGGAAAAGTTGTTGTGATTCCGTATGTACACCGAGTGTCGCACTATCTAAAGAAAATAGCAATGCGATCCAATGTAAAGGTAGTGTTTTCTGCGCCCAATAAGCTCATGGAACTGTGCAAACTATCAAAGCCTGGCGTGCGTGCCAAACACGGTTGTGAAAAGAAGCACAGAACGAAATTTGTCGACTGTACAGATGGCGTGGTTTACCGCATTCCGTTGTCCTGTGGCAGCCACTACGTCGGGCAGACGGGGCGCTGCCTAAATGATCGGCTTCGCGAGCACAATAACAACGTGCAAAAAAAGAACGGTGGCTTTCTTGACTTGCATTGCAGGACATGCGGTTGTACCCCACTGTTGGATGAATGTGTAAAAATTGGGAAATGCAAGTCAGCGGTAACACGCGAAATCATAGAAGCCGAGCACATTGATTATTTAGGAGACATGTGTGTTGCTATGCCGTCGATCGCATTATCGGAGAAGGAATTGTTTTTCCTGAGAACGAGATAGTGTTGTTTCCCAGTTATGCTCTGTCATGGTGTTTTTCTTCCTATACTTTTGTCTTTTTTTTTTTTTTTTTTTTCATTGTAACGATGGTTGAGACTATATATATACCGGAACACGTTTTCAATAAAATTCAGTTGAAAGTTGCGCCTTGTTGTGTCCCCTTCTCTGCTTTTGTCCTCGTCTTTGTTGCGCACACGATTGTATAAGATGTCAAACCAACTCGCCCAAACAAGCACTCTTCTTCTTCCTCCTTTCACATTTCCTCCCACTCTTTCTTTTTTCTTCTACTTTCTCTTCCTTTTTCATCTTCTTAGGCAGTAAGGGCCAACCTTGAGTGGAAACAGGCCCTGTCCCCGCAACCACACTAAGGTATAGTGCTCGGGCAGCACTGGTAGTGTAATTGTGTCAGCCAATTAAGCCTTTCTTAATTGCTATTGCACATTACCTACCCCCCTGTTGGGCTCCGTGCTGATCGGTGCACCAGGGCACTGAACTTTCCTTCCCATCTTTATGGGTTCTAGCACTAAAACCATCCTCGATCGGCCCCTGAAAGGGGTCCGCACCGAAGTCCAAGTTCCAAAAAAGGCACCACCAACACCGTCTAGATTTCCAAAGTTTTTGATTCTTCACTCCGAAAATGAGAAACAGCTCTTGAAATTATCTCTTTTCCTTGTCGCAAAGACACTCAAGGGTGTTGTCGGTAAGGAATTCAAAGCCAGGAAAATGCCATCCGGTGACCTACTTGTTGAGATTGAATCAAGCGAGCAGAGTACTGCACTACTAGGTTTAACGTCTATTTCTGGATATGACATCTTTGTCTCTTCCCACAAAACGCTTAACAGCATCCGGGGAGTGATTTCCGAGGATGACCTCCTTGACAGCTCTGAAAGTGAAATCGTTGAAGGGCTCTCTGACCAAGGTGTCACAGCTGCAAGACGTATCACCATACGTCGTAATAGGAACGAGCTCAAGACAAAACATACTGTACTCACCTTCCAATCAACCGTCCTTCCTGAAGCTGTGAAAGCTGCATGGGTACCTGCGCTGCAGGGTTCGGCCTTATGTGCCAAACCCCCATAGATGTTTCAAGTGCCAGAGATTTACCCATGGCTCTCAGAGCTGCCGTGGTAAGGCCACCTGTGCAAAGTGTAGCAAGACCGACCACGAAGCTGATGCCTGTACTAACAACCCTCACTGTGTGAACTGCTCAGAACCTCAACCCAGCATATTCCAGATCATGCAAAACATGGAAAGATGAGAAGGTGGTCCTTACCTTTAAAGTTAAAGAAAACCTTTCTTACCCTGAAGCACACCGTCGCTTCGCATTCGTGTGGAAAGGCGGCTACGCCCAAAGGTGCAGCGGGGACCTGCACCACTAAAGGTTGCAGTGGCAACCCAGACGTCCTTTCTGGACTATGGGAAACCACGGCAGTCCCCCACGCCCCAGCTGAAAATTCAGCTACCAGGGCGTGCAATCTCGGCTGGTCGGTCGGCTGACCCCAGCCAGAGCACAAGCACTAGCGCCCCTGCGAGACAGCAGCCTCTGCCTTCTCATGTAGAGGGTGCGCAGGCTGCTTCCCGAGCCCAGGATGGGCTGGCGGCTGCAGCAGCCATCCCTACTCTGCGAACTCCTTCCAGGGAGAAGGGTCGACACTCTCGCCCAGACTCCCTGGAGAGAGCATGCATCATCGAGAGAGCGGCATGGCTCTCGTGCCGCTCCTGCAGCACTTAAGGGGCATCACCTAAGGGGCATCACCTAAGGGGCATTATACAGACTTCTCAATCCACGTCCAATGACAAAGTGTACTGTCACAAGTCTTATCGGAGGCACAATACTGCTCATGGAGCTCATACAACAAAAATAGGTTGAAGAGCAGAAAGATGCAAGTAAGACATACATGTTCCAGAATGCCTGGAGCTTGAAAGTATAGCAATCGCACCACTAGAAGAATGAACCTGTCACCGCTGCCAATGCTTTTCTAGACAATAAACACCGCTGTTTCATGGTCAGCACAGCTACAAAAACAGTGCAGTCATGAAATATTCTCATTTCATGAGAATATTTCTCATGCCTGCTCGCCTACCTGCTCAAAGAGCAGGTAGGCGAGCAGGGACAGGCTGCACAGGACGATCTGTTCTCAGTGTTTTGTGGAGAAGAGTGCCTGAAAGCATAAAGAAATGACTCGTACATAACAATACTAAGTTACAAAATGATCCGAAACAGATCAGACGGAAGCAGGCCCCGAGTGGGTAGTGTAACGGTATACTTTATGTTTTGTTGCTCATATCACCATCTTCTCCCCTACCTGTTGTGATGTGAATGAACATTGTACCGGCAACCAGTGCTGATTTCAGTATTGTGTGATGTTAGCAGTGTTGCTGCACTGATTTAGTTTTAGCAGAGCAAGAACCAGCGTCATTATGTCTGGTAGGAAGACGCAATGCAAATTAGACATCCACCCAATTTGCTTTCTCGCCCATATTGAATCTGTTTTCAGTGTGTTGAGTCTACTCTTGAGCATAAGTAGGCATTTTAGAGCCCCTTCATTCACCATCGCATCACGAACAAAATCACGTCTCCAAATTCATTCGCATTCACGTCACAAGGTACTCCGACCTCCCGAAGTCGCGGCCCTTCACATCCCGGCGTTCAACCGCGCCAAAACTTCATCCCCTTCACATCACGGCTTTCAAACTCCGCCGAGAATTCATCCCCTTCACATCACGTTGTTCAACCACGCGGGGAATTCATCCCCATCACATCACCGCCGCCTCCAAGTTCACGAAGTCATTCACCATCACATCACCAATTTACGAAGTCATTCACCATCACCCCGAATTTATCGGAATTCACCATCACATCATGAATTCATCCGAATTCACCATCACCTAACGAATTCATCTGAATTCACCATCACTTCACGAAGTTATTCACCATCACGGTCAACACGAATCCACCGGAATTCACCATCACGGTCAACACGAATTCACCGGAATTCACAATCACATCATGAAGTCCGCATAATTCACGAAGTCATTTAGGTTCATGCTAGCTAAATTCGACTTCATGGCTGGTAGCCCTTCACGAGTTCGCAGTTCTTGTAAAAGGGGACTGGTGGCGCCTTTTTGTGTCAGCCGCTTGAAACCAGGGCCTGACTCGACAAAGGGCCACCGCGCTGAGGCGCGCATGGCTACGCAGCGAGGCTGATGCCTAAACCGCTAAAGTCAAATGGGTCCCTGTCGTTTGCGGTAAAGGATGAAAACAACCTGCAAGCAAGCAAGCAAGCACCTGCGTAACATGTTTTCCACCTATTCTGAATTCATAACCGTACTCCCTATCACGTTGAGAATTGAGTTTATGGTATTACTTCCCATCACAAACTTATTAAGTTCACGAGCCACTTACATTACAAAATCATCGTGTTCACGAGCAATTCACCATTACGTCACAAATTCATTGAGTCATTCAATCACAATGAATTCTTCACTTCACGAAGTCATTCACAATCACAACACATCAACACATCACAACTTCATTCACCATCACATCACGAATTCATTCAAATTCACAAAGTCATTCACCATCACATCAAGACTTCACGACTTCATTCACCTTCACATCACGAATTCATTCAAATTCACGAAGTCATTCACCATCACATCACGAATTCATTCAAATTCACAAAGTCATTCACCATTACATTATGATTTTTTTCAATTTTAAGAATTCCTTCAGGGCCATTCAGATTCACGTCGTGAATGTGAATGAAGGTGAATGAGCGAGTTCATGAATAAGTTTGCCGAGGTATGCTCTTGAGAGTCTTGAGAACCCACAAACAATTTCCTTTTGTTACATAGATTAGTGGTTAGCATTACAATTTTCCTTGACATTTACACAACATTAATGACTTGCTTCCTTACAGGCAATTGCTTAGGTAGATGTTCGGCATTATTGACTAACCTCCTCCCCGAGACTGGGACATGAAGGGACGGACAATGCAGTCTCAAGGAGACTGTTGTTTGTCCCTTTATGTCCCAGTTTCGGGGTCTTATTCAATAATGTTCAACCTTCACCAGCTCATTTACACCCTAACCTTATGTTTGGCATGAATTATTTTTACTTTTAAGAAAATACTAACAGCGAGGAGAGTAGTTCTTGGGGGACAATGGTGTCTACTTTGATAAATATTACCTGCAAGTGCTCCACTGCAAAAGAATAAGCCTCAGGGTGCAGAAACATATAATAATTAAGAAATTTGCTAACCAGGTGTTGACAACCAAAGGAGCATAGTTGTTGCGTAACACTGGCTGGCTCGGTCGAAGGTGCCTTCATTAAGCCTTGCACATGGTTTGAAGTATCATGCACGAATTATCTTGTCAGCTTGGAAATACTTTCCATAACAAACCGACTCAAACTGGGATTTGAATTTCTTTTTCTAAAAATAGGCACTCAGTGTTGAATAGCGTTATTTCTTCTAAACTTGCTTTCATTTTTATTCAGACCTACAGATTGGTATTCTTACCTGAAATACTCATAAGATGAGGGCAAGGAGACTTGCTGTAGAAATCCGAGAGCTGCTCGTCAGACGTCAGTTGGGGCGTTGGGCTTCTCTTCGGTGGCAAGACGTCCTTGTTCTTTTGCATGGTGCCTGTTTCCAGCTTGAAGTTGATGTCGGTCATTGCGGCTTGCTCAACATTCCTCTTAGTTCCCTTGTTCCACGAGGCACCAGTGTCCGTACACGATAGGCCTGTGAGCCCCAGCTGCACCGCCATTTCCACCTTCCACATGATGGCACCTGCATGGCTGCAAACGCGTGCTTGGCCAGTCATGCAGGTGCACCCTGCAGTCAGCACCTCGCCAGATGGTCTGGCACAACACCACGCAATACGTGGTTTCTTGTTGACCGCCTGAGAGGGCCTCACTTCACCTTTTAGGTATGTCAGATCTGGTGTGGGGATGTGAACGAGCACTTCCCCTACCCTCCCACTTAGCACATAGTTAAAAAGAGTCTAGGCTTTTGTAAGCCTTCGCCTCCTTCAGTCACAGGCCTTTGTCTCGAGAAAGTAGCAAATTATATTCTGTCCGCGCATGGTCGGCCACACCTTGGTGTCGTCACTCCAGCACTTGACCATTTTTCGATGCACATACTTGATGCTATCTGTTAATAGTATAAAAAGAGATGTTTCAGTAATGAGCAGAAAAGTTAAGAAGCTAGATTAATGGGCGTTCATTCAAATACTTTAATGGAAGAAAATATATATAATTTCCTGAACACTTCAAGCTTCTGGTCATCGCAGTTCGAACGCAGAACTTTTAATGATATTTTGACGGCACATGAGAGCCGAAAACCCCGCGACTTAGAACTGGAAGCTCATCTTGAGAGTTTGCAGCACAAGTCGATAAGTCGCTAGTAGCGATGCCGACACGCATGGGCGTACCAACGGGGGGGGCAAGAGGGGCCGTCGCCCCCCAGGTCTCAGAGAGGGGGGAGGGGCAAGGCATCCGTTTTGCACCCCCTGAAGCGGCCGCCACTGGGCAGGGTAAACACTGGCCGGCGGTGCCCAAGGGAGACCAGGGGCACCCCCCCCCCCCCCCCCCCCGCCCCGCCCCCAATCGAAAACAAGTTGGTACGCCACTGTCGACACGAATTAGCGGCGGCCCGTTAATGGCATGAAATAGTTTGTAAACTCACGTGATAAGTTAGCAGTCTTTAACAGTCATGGTCTAACTTTTCTTCGTCCATAAAAAAACCAATGATACACAAGGAAGGGGCACGCTAATGTGAAAAGATTTAGGGTTTACATTATCGTCGCGTAAAATGAAGTTCTTCGCGTAACTTTGCGTCCCTTGGCCAATCTCGCTCTCTAGTTAGGGATCAAACTAACACAGCAGGGTTTTTGCATGCTTGGAACTCACCTATCAGAAACGTCTTCTGGTCCGATGGATTCAATGGTGTCGCCGACCCCACGTTGGAGCTACATCCAGCGGATGCGGTCGCCATCGTTTTAGACAAACGAAATATGATGCTAGTTGTATTCTTGTTGAAAAAAAAGAACTACCATTTGATATCCCTTGCGTAAACGAGCTATAAATTGCTTCTAAAAATAATTGTGACAGAACAGCTCGAGCGGCCACTAGCTCACCACAACCTGGTACGTCTGAAGCGCGCAGCTACAGCTCAAAAATGCCGGACTGTCGGGAGCGCCGGGTGTGCCTGGACGAATGTAGACAGCGCTGCGCTCGAACATAATGGCGCCGCCCTAAGAGCTGTAAGTGGAATGGTCCATACACCCAGGTGAAAATTTCCCAACTGGTATCCAACTGGTCCCAGTTCAACTGGTTTAAGGAACAATTCCCAGTTGGACCAGCTCGACCAACTGGGACCAGCTGGCCCAGTTCAAGTGGTCCGAGTTCAACTGGTTTAAGGAACGGTTCCCAGTTAGACCAGCTGGACCAGCTGGGATCTAACTGGAACCAGATGCAACTGGGACTAACTGGGACCAGTTAGATCCCAGCTGCAACTAGGACCAGTTAAATCCTAGTAGCAGCTGCTCCGTTGTCGCTGGTCGCTTGACACTAGAAAATCCTCTTTGAACTAGTTCAAATAATGAAATGCGATGCAATTGCACTTTGTTTACAATTTATTCCAGGGAAGAGAGCTGCAGTAATAAGATGCTCATTATGTCCTGTGATAGGCCTCTTTGCACCTCACTGATTTAATAGAATCTTGTATTTTTTCGGGCAAGATGGTTTCCAAAGTTGGAGACCACTCGTGATGTCCACCTTTACCCATGCCCAATGGTGCAAGGTAGCTGCAAATGAATTGACCAAATTATTTTTTGTTTCATGTTCAGATTACGTACCCACCTTCAACAACATTGACCTTTTCCGGGGTCAATGCGGGTTTGGTCTGCTCCCCCGAGGCCCTCTTGTTGGGTGGCAGCTGGCATGACATACTTCATACTGCCAGCCCAGGTGTAGTCCAAATGGACTGGGCTGTCTCTTTCACGACGAGAGTCGGCTTGGTGTGCGTCACCACTCGTTTTGCCTGGGTTGACGTAAGTACTGTCCGCTTCTGGAGGTGAAGCTGTAAGCAGATGGAACATAATTATGTAAAACAGTGCTACTAGATGAGGTCAATAAGGAACATACACGACAGGAAAGGCGCTGACTCACAAGTATATGATTTACTAGGAGGGAATAAAGACAAAGTATACTTAAACTGTACGTCACAAGTGTGTCTGTCAGTCTTATGATAACTGATCTTCAAGTTCACACTGGCATGCACGAAACCTTCATTATCCCCTTCAGAAATTCTAACTCTTCATCTGACAATGCCATGATGCATGGATTACACGGTCACTTCCACCGCTGTTGATGTGATAAGGCTCATCTCTTCACAAGTCGTCTTGTCCTTGTGCCTGCCTAAAATAGTAGTGCTGTGGAAGGACAGTCCACAATCTCACTTTGTACAGTGAATTAGAACATATCCTGCACTGTGGCTCTAGGAGACCAAGCGTGTCCTCGATGTCTGTCATTCAGGCACTGCCCCATCTAGCCAATGCAGTTGCTGCCACACAAGAGTAGAATGCTGTACTCACCTCCCAAAAAAACAGAACAAACAGTCTGACATACTTCTTGGTGCACTTGTTCCCAGACAGTCCCTTGGCCTTTGCATTGACTCTAGCACATATTTGATTTGTTTTCGATGGGTGCTGAAAAGACTACTAAAACTTCAAACCAACTTTCAACTTTTTTTTTTTTTTAAATACGAGACATCTTGTGACGTTCTCCTTTTTTCTGTACTGCAGTCGGTATCCTGGATATCCTTCTCCTCAGGCAGATGATCGATACCCCGCTGTCCTCGGTCCTTCAATTTGTTTTTCGAAGCTATGTGCCAGTGTGTGAAAACAACTTTTGCAGTGCTGCTTCCAGACACGTAAGAGCAATACCCCTCTTGATTGCTTTCAAATAGGCGCGCTCAAAGAAATGCATTTTATACTACAAGTTGCCCCATTCAAAGGTAATCAAGAAAGGTATTGCTCTTTCATGTCTGGGTACAGGACTGCAGAAGTCGTGCTTTCGCACATTGCCAGATAGCTTCAGAAAACAAACAGATAAGCAGACAGCTTATCTTCTTTGCCGTGCTTTTGAATTCTCCTTGCACATAAATTTTATTAGCTAATGAGCCAGAGACTTTCCTAGCTGTTTCTTTTTGTGGCAGTAACTTTTCCACATACACCTTAAAAGACGACAAGATATTTACACGACCATCAGCCATGTACGTAAACTCTGCAGGGCACAAGCCAGTCAATGCTAAAATTAAAAATCAGTCAAAACATTTAGGTAAATTACACTCGACACAATTCCCAACTCTGTTTTCTCAAGTTATGCATGCAAGCAGGAGGAAATAAAATCAAACAAGATCACAAAAGTTTTTTTTAGAGTGTCAAGAGTCAACTTACCTGCAACAGGACCTACAGCTTGAGGTGCTTGTGCCAGCCTTCCATGTGCTGCAAAGAGTTAATGCAGGTCAGTGTGTCTCATGGAGAAATGCTGTATACACAGAGCCAAAACAATGGTCATACAACTATTGGCCCAAAAACTCCATGCAGCACGCCTTGGATGGCTACATAAAGTGCACTCAGCAAAAAAACTGTCTAAATGTCAACTTACCTGAACCAGTACTGGCACTTGAAACACTCGGAGCCCTGGAAGCACTTGCAGTCCCGGCTTGTTTAGCTGTAAATGTATGCAGTGCACTGAGAACGGTGGGTTTTGGATGCAAGAAGCTGCGCAAATGCCAACAACTCACCTGCGCCAGAACTACCGTAGAATACCGCACATCCGCTCATTCCATACTAAGCACCCATTCCCAAATTTACAAGATCTGAGAAAATATGCACAGTACATTTATATGTAAAATTGATGACCGGACAAGCGCCAGCCCCCCATTTCTTCGCGATTATCTCTAAATCTTGAGTGGGTGCTTGCCTGGTATTTTACAGTAGCCTCAGAACACTGTGCAGCTGCAGCATTTGCTGTAGGTATAAACAGTGCACTCAGAGCAGTCAGTTTAAGATGCAAAAATCTGCATAAATGTGTCAACTCACCGGTGATGGAAGCACTTGTGCAATCAGCTTGGCTTTGACTGCCTTGGCTAGCTGTAAATATATGCAGTACATAAAATATATTATGTTTCACGTGTAAAATCTGCACAAATGCCAACTTACCTTCTACGGAGGACCTCTTTTTCATATTTTTTTGAACCAGCAGCCCCGGGTTTGCTGTAAATTTATACAATATATTAAGAATCAAGTGTCATACCAAAGGGTCATATGTCCGGCCAACTTACCATCTGCTCTGGGTTTCAACCCCTGTGCAGCTCGACAAGGCTCAGCAAGCACATCAGCCTCTTGTGCTGTATTATAAAAGAAGCTATACTTCAAGAATGCGAAGTAGTCATGCGACTGTTGCCCCTCCTTAGAATCTTATTACACACTAAATCATTAAAACATTAGCTTAAAGCCTCCCAAGCACTCTAACCCGGTGTATCAGCTGGGTAAATATTTACATATGCCAAGCAAGTTAGTCTTGGGTAGACTTGGAGGATGAAATCAAATCAGACAGATCAAATCACCTAGATACAAATTTGCTAGCTCAACGACACTCATACCATCAAAAAGCATACCTGGACTGCCATGATTCAGAGCTGCCACCTTGTTTTGGTTCTGCTGCTCTTCCACTGTTAAAACAATTTAATGAAAATTTATTTATAAAGTATGATTGATCACATTTTTAGTGCTTAGGATAAGGGCAGACATATTACATATTGTAATTAACAACTTGCAGAGTAAACCCTATAATGTAATAAGTTCAAAAGCAAAACAGACAAGAAAGAGCCAACTCAGTCTTACTCACTTCTAAAGAGCTTGGAGCCTAGGAGTGCCTGCTGGGCACGCACTTGTTCTTGCTGGCATTCCAGTATTTCGTCTTCTTTCTGGCTTCCTGCACCTCGCTGCTGGGAAGCAGCGAGTCATCGGAGTCCGATGTGCCGGAAGCCCGCTGTCTTTTTTGCTGTACATTATTTTGAAATATACAAAACAATGCTGATCATAATGCCATCCTGCTAGGATGAGACAGGGTCACAAACATTTTTAAATGTCACACTATCCACAATACTCACGGTGAATGGGCCGATAGCAGAATTCTTCTGGTGAGCCTGGCTCATCTGGTTCTGAAGGATAGCCTCGTAGCTATCTTTCTTGGCAGCAGCCTGATTAGATTTCTTTTTTTTTTGCTGCCTGTGAGTGAAAGTGATGCAATAAATGATTACAATTACTAGTTTGGCCAGAGCAGCCCAATCAGATAACCTAGCAACTTGCTGGCAAGGGAACTAAGTAAGTGCCAGACATTGGGCGCGTCAAGTCCGTGCTCCAGAGCGTGAGAGTTTGACGCTCTTGCACTAAACGGACAGGAGTGCCATCGGAGACTGACACTCAAGCGCGCTCTTCGTGCACCGAGAATTTCTCGGAGCGCGAGTGACTTCTTCGTGCTCTGTGACGTCACATAAACAAACAAGATGGCTGCGCCGCTGTTGAGACTGTCGAGACGAAAGGCGTAGCCGGACCGCTGCTCCTTTTCTGTTGATTAGTGCTTAATCTAGCAGGTAAAAACGATTTGATTTGAAAGCCAAGACAGCAGTTAGCGTTCCGGAAAAGGTTTGTTCGGGCATCTCGCCTGAAGAAGAAATTCATCTATCAAACGGTCGCGTGCCGATTGCACAGCGACAGGAAAGTTGTCGAAATGAGGAGACATTTGGACCGCTGCTTCTTTTAAAATGCTTAGCTCAGCGAATAAATATATTTCGATTGAAAAGCCGGAACATCAGTTACTGTCAAGCAACGTTACTAAAACACTCAGTTGGGAAACTCTCCTTCGAAACATGGGCCGCTGGCGTCCACCGAGACCGAGCTAAATACGACAACAGCGCCACTCTTTATCATTTGTCTGTACTGTGGTCACCTTGAGCTTTTAAAAAGCCTGTTTTTGCGTAAAAACAAACGGAAAAGACTCTTTTTGTATTAAATTTTTTGGAGTTTCGTACAAAATGAAGGGTGCGTGATGTTTTTAAAATCTTTAGATTGCAAGGTTTTGCGGCACAATTAATATTGTTTTTTTATACAACCATGCCTCAGCTAGCTTCCAGGTAGCGCGTCCCGACCTAGGTGCATTTTAACTTCGGTAGTAAGATGTGGTGCGTCCGCTGGGAAGAGGGGGGTTGCACCCCCGTAATGTCTTCCGCTGTATCTGTTTCGGCGCCAAAATGTCGGATTAAAGCCAAAATAGAAGTAATGTGTGGTTCCCCGAATGGCTGCTGCGGGAAAAATGGTGGCGTGTTCGTCATTAGCTCGGTGCTTGAGGACAAATCGGGGCCACGTTTTCAAAGCAGTCTCTATGGCAGTTTCCCAACTGAGTGGTTTAATAATGTTACCGTCGAGTACAAGGTTTGTTTGCGCGTCTTGCCTGAAAACGAATTGATCTATCGAACGAGTGTGCCGATAGCTCGGCGACAGAAAATTTGTAATAAAAGGACAGACCGCTGCCCTGCTTAGAATGCTTAGCCCAGCCGCAGCGAATAGAGATACTTAGATTGGAAAGCCGAAACACCATTTACAGCGTTGCGGGAAAGGTTTGTTCCATGCATACCTCCTAAAAACGAATTGACGTGATATATCGAAAGACGGTGTGCCGGTATCTGCATATACCATCCGTCTAGCTGCGAGACGGAACCGATGAAACCAAAGAATTTCTGACAAATTTGAGTGTTTCCTGCGTCGACAAGCAGGTTCAAGAATGTTGTCTTTAACTTAATTTGGAACAGCATGCATGGTCAATAAATGGTATGACCCAGGTGACCTTCCACGTATGTTCACAAAGCGAGTCTTCTAACCTTTCAGGAATATTCAAACGTTCGTAGAAACTTGATAACGTCGCCGTCTCTTTTGCTTTAGACTGCCGCTCCACTTGGGCTTAATTTTTTATCTTCGAAACATTTTCAGTTTCTGCCACCCGTATTCACGATTGGAAGGAGCTCGTGTGGCTCGTCGATAGTTTCTGGGCTCTCTGGGCGTGTTTTAAAACTTACTCGATCTAACTCTAGGGTAAAGGTGATTATCGAAATCCTACCCGCGCCCAGCGTTTCTCTATTTTTGTTGTCACGTGACATAATCCGCCATGGTAACTCAGATCCATTCGAGTAGGTTTGGAACGCAGCCTCGGTGTGTCGCGCTCCTGTACACTATGCGTCGTTTAGTTGCTGCGCTCGGAGTATGAAACTCTGAGCGTCGGAGTAGGAGTAAAGGAGTGCGGACTTAACGCACCCACTGATTTGCTTCGGAACTGAAACGGGGGCCGAGGCATCTCAGGAGGCGTTCGTCCGGTTTTTTTACATTTCTGATCTGGTCGAAATGAATATGGAACTAGCTGAAGTTTGGGATAGAAAATTACCCGTTTATTCATTTTCTGAGTGGACGTTTCGTCCTCGGAGCTCTCATCCACCGTCACTTTGGGCACTGGAACTCTCTTAGGGCATTCCCTCACCTCTTCTTTGGAAACTGCAAAACGAGGGGAAAAAATTGATTAATTAATCCAAGCATTTTTAATAGACCATTTGCTATATCTCCCAAGTGCCCCAGCCCGTGCTAAAAGAATCATGGGAACGGTGTTCTTTCAGCCCCTTAGTGGACGGTAATTTCGACCCTACTTTCGGTTACACAGGTTCTGAGCGTAATTCGGAGTCACCCTGAACAAGCACCTGATATACCTTAATGACCTGTCATATCACTTTAAAATTTCTTCTCAATGTCAGCTTTTTTGATACTGTGCATGCTGTCCACCCTTCAACCTGGATGGGCTGCAGAAATCTCTTACATTATTATCATGCTGATATTAAGTTAGAAACACTAAAAATGCTATAAACAGCCCCGCGGACTCCGAGCTACATCCTGGTTTTTGTTGTTGTGAACTATCGGCTTTTTAAGCAATTTTTGCTCAAACAACAAATACGAGAATGATAATATTGTAAGAGATTTCTGCAGCTCAGCCAGGCTGAAAGGTGGATCGCATATGCACAGTATCAAAAATGCTGACGTTGACGAGCAATTTTAGAAGTGATATGACAGTTCCTTGGGGTATATCAGGTGCTTGTTCAGGGTGACCTTGAATTACGCTCAAAAACTAACTATCGGGTTGGTACAAAATTAGTGATCACTAGGGAGCTGAAGGAACACCGTTCTCATGATTCCTTAAGTGCGGGCCGAGGCGCTTGGGAATACTGCAAATGGTCTATTGGTGTTAAGGGAACCTAAACGAGGTGTAACAATGAATGCTTACCACCGAGCATCAGAATTTGTGCGGAGTAGTCTCCCGTGTTTTCACTGTCCACGTCGTCCTTCCAGAAAACCGTGTGCACAGCTCTGTTGTCAAAGTCTATCTTGTGTTGTGGAGCAAAATTGCGGATATTGTGCACAGGTAGCACATGGCGGCGGTTGTCCTGGTCTTTTAGAAATCGAACCAGCGCATACATGGCGTGAAAAACGTAAAATATGAAAAAAATACTACAAGGAACTATGTTAATTAAAGCACAAAAAAATGGAGAATGATTGCCGCAAGAGAAAAGCACAAAAGAAAAAGAAAGGCAAAAACAGAGTTTGGGAAGGTAGGGCACGTGAGATAGGGACATCAACGAACAGCCAAAAGTGCGTACATTTAGATTTGGATCTGTTGGCTTTTCCCTTCTTAACAGGTGGAAACTACAGTACGGATCTCCGTATGTGTCCTCCATTAATTGTCCTTAGGAATAAGGAACCCCTGCTCCCCCGCAGAATTTTCTTCTCCAGTTCTCCAGTCACCGCTTTGTCGTCTCAATCACGTTCGCACCGTTCCCCCCCTGCTGCCGCACCAGCCGCGCCCCCAGTATCACTGGCTCCCATGTCTCCCTCTTGCGGTTGGCCTACAAAACCGAGAGCCTGTTCCAGCGTCACTTCACTTGGTTGGACCGGCCGCAGCATCCTGCACCTCAGCACCAGGTGTTCCATAGTCTCCTCCTCTTCCCCACAGATGGTGCCCATTATGCTCGCTTCGACTCTTCCACATTTCACCTGCCACCGCTTATTTCTCAATGTTCCAGCAGGAGCCTCAAAGAGCAGACTGCTCCCCAGTGTATTATCGAAGAACTGCTCCTTGCAGATCTCCTTGTTGCTGATGTAGGTCTGGAGTGCCGGCTTGTCAGCTGCCCTTCTTTCCCACGTCTGCGTCTCCACAGCTCTGACCTGCTCACGCAGCTCCTTTAATCCTATGCTTGTACCTTCCAGCCTGTTGATCGACAACAGTGGCACCCCATACTTGTTCGACAGCGCACAGACTCTCCTCGACCACCAGGTTGCCGCCCCGGTGTAGAGTAGGCACCTCGGCATCCGATGTACCCACCGCTCCTGACCGAGGCCCCAGGCGCGCACTTCGAAACTGAGCTTCGCCACTGCCTCACGGGCCTCAAACGAGGACCACCCGACGTTGCCCTGCAGCTGCCTCGTTTAGTGTCATCCCATGAATACGGAGGGCCAGCCTTCCCACTTCGCGCTGCCTCCTCTCCAAGTACCGTATTTACTCGCACAATGAACGCACTCGCGTAATGAACGCACCCCCCAAGTTGTCTCTCAAAATTTCGACTTTTTTTTTCACTCGCGTAATAAACGCACCCCACCCCCAACGCGGATGTCAAAATTTTGACCCCCTCCCCCACGCGCGCGAAATCAACGCACTTTTCTATCCTGGTGCAGCGAGGTCGCGAATGCATGGGCAGCGTGGGCGAACAAATCGTCTTGCAAAAGGCGTTAAAAAATTCGCAAAGATCCAACGGAAGCAAGAAAAAAAAAAACATGGAGAGGAGCTTTTTTTTTTTTTTTCTTTGCACAGCGCAGTTTGGATTTTGGGTTCGCGCGCCGCCGCGCGCAAGGAGGTAAGAAAGAGAAGCGGAGAAGCGCTCTAAGCGAACAAAACAGCTTGCGAAAGGCAGCAAAAAGAAAAAAAAAAGGAACTAAGAGAAAACAAATATAAAAAGGAGCTTTTTTTTTTCTTTTTTTTTACATTGTAGTTTGGTTACGGGGGGGGGGGGGGGGGGGGGGGGGTGTCGCGCGCCGCGCGCAAGGAGGTAAGAAAGAGGGGCGGAGAAGCCATCTAAGCAAACGAAACAGCTTGCGAAAGGCGGCAAAAAGGAAAAAAAAGAAACAACCCACGGAACTGAGAAAAAAAAAAAAGAAGCTTTTTTTTTCTTTTTTGCACAGCGGTTCGTGCGCCGCGCGCAAGGAGATAAGAAGGATAAGGGGAGAGCCCTTGCCTAAGCAAACAAAACAGCTTGCGAAAGGCGGCAAAAACGAAAAAAAAAAAAAAACCAAGGAACTAAGAGAAAAAGAAAACAAAGGAGTTTTTTTTTGCACAGCTTAGTTTGGTTAGGGGGTGGGGCGCCGCGTGCAAAGTGATAAGTTACTTTGATTTATCAGGATAAAAGGTCCGTTCATTATGCGCGAGTAAATTCGGACCCAAAAATTTTACTTCGCGTTATGAACGCCCCCCCTAACTTTGCATCGATTTTTCGGAAAAAAAAGTGTGTTCATTCTGCGAGTAAATACGGTACTCCCGCGTGGCGGCTGACGGGCACAACACTGTATTCGCGAACGTCAGTCCCGGCATAGTCACTGCCTTCCATAGGCCGCATACCACCTCCAATCTATTAAATGATCATAGAGCCTTGGCCTTGAGGACGCGTTGCCCTCGTAGCGCCTTCTCTCGCACCCCCTGCTCATACTCCGCCAAATAGTCTGGACCCGTCGAAAGCCTGACTCCCACGTAGCGGTATGCGGACACAAACGGAATGCTCTTTCCTTGCAGGGTTACTGGCTCACTCTCCGTTCGTCCTCCCTGACTCCCCCAACGCAACACAGCACATTTCTGGGCACTGAACCGAAGTCCTAGCCGGTCCCCATGCCGCAGACACGTATCCAGAAGCTCCTGCAGACCGGGCCTCGAGCTCGCCGTCAGCTCAATATCATCTGCGTAAAGCAGACCTGGGAGCGTATGGGACACCTTTCGTCCGTCGAGCATGAATGACACATCAAAACCATGCCCACCTCCCTCCAAGCCGGCCTCCATTTCACTGAGGAAAAGCATGAAGAGCAGCGGGAACAGCGGACAACTTTGCCTGAGACGCCGGCCCATTGGCACCATCCCTGACCGCATCCCTTGCCACTCCACCACCACCTTCGTACCCATGTACAGTTCTCGCAAGAGATCCACCTCCAGGGAAGTCCTTTTGTTGCACAGCAACTGCCACAGTGCAGCCTGTTCGAGGCAATCATATAACTTCTCCACATCGAGGAAGGCCACCCATAACTTCCGCCCCTTCGTGCGTGCCATTTCAATGCACTGCGTGAAAATTAGTTATCCTCCAGGCGCTGCCCTCTGCGGAAACCATTCTGCAGTTCGCCAAGGATCCGCTCTCTTTCCGCCCATGCCTGTATTCTCCTCCTTAGCACTTGGGTGAAGACTCTGTGCAGCACCAGAGTCACAGTTATTGGCCTGTCTGATGATAATCGACTCCTTTCCTCAGCACCCTTACACACAAAAGTCATTCGACCGTGGTGCCAATCCTGAGGAATCTCCCCAGTCTTCAGCATTTCACTGAAGCACTCCCTCAATGCAAGGCACTGCCTTGGACCCAGCTTTTTGAGAAGAGACGCTGGAAACCGATACATTCCTGTCGCCGTGCTTGCCTGTATCTGACCCACGATGTTCTTGAACTCCGCCTCACCAATAGGACCCAACCACTCATGCGAGTCGACCTCTTCTGTCCCTGGGTCACCCTCTACTTCGTCCACCTCGCCTTCTTCTCTTCCAAACACGGCAGCGACTTGCGTCGCCACAAACTGCAAACCCTCTGTCTCTGATAGGAGAACTTCTGATTCCGGGTGACACAGCAGCTGTTTGGGCATCGCATGCCTGTTAGACCTCCGCATGTCTCCAGAATTTTCTTGGTGCATCCCGACCACTCCTTCTTAGATTCTCCAGGAACCCTTGGTCCACATTGCGAAGCTTCTTCTGGATCAAGCCTGCCGCCTCCCTCTTCTTGTGTCAGCCCAGTTGAAAATTCTTATTAGGTTCCAATTGGAATTTCCAATTGATACCAGCTAGGTTTTGGGACAACCAATTGGTCACTGCAATGGGAACCAATTGGAACCTATTAAGATTCCAACTGGAAAATTTTTTCCAATTGGTGAGACCCATTGGCCAGTGTGCTTCCAATTGGAACCCACTAAAACCAGTTGGTTCCAATTAAAACCAGTTAGAATTCCAATTGGATCTAATGGGAATTTTCATCTAGGTCTGTAGATTCCCCAAAGGCTCCTCCGTGCCTGCTCGGGCCACCGGGCTCTCACCGCCGTCCGATGTTTGCAACACGCATCCTTTCTGGCGCTAACTGCAACCCATATATCCCGGTCCCACCATCGTTTCAGGCTGTACTTCTGTCGTTTGCCCACCCTGCGCATTTTCTTATTCAGCTCCTGTCGTACACGCGTTCATACTCTACCTCCGGCGTCACCTCCAGTCGCTCCGCAATCTGGTCAATGTCTCGCTCCGTAAGAAACCCTTTGCCCTCGTTGCCTCCCCTCTCGTTTTTCATTCTCCCGCCAAATTCCATGAACATTCTGTTGTGGTCACTTCCAACACTGTGATCCCTTGCTTCATCAATGACCATTCGGGTTAACCGGTCGTACAGACCAGGTGACATGACCGCAAAATTTATGCAAGAGTTCTGGTCCCCCGACGACCACGTGGTGAATCCCTCGCATTTTGGTTGCAAGTTCCCGTTGACCAGATTGAAAGGTTGCCAAGGTTGCCAGATGCCAAACTCCATAGAACCCAACACCCAACTCTAAGCTGCTTCACCAAAATTGTTGATCATATCGTTTTTTTATCAAAATTTTATGAAATAATATATTAACCTAAAACGCTCTTTATTTTATGTTTTCAATAATAATAAATAGAAACAATGTATCAAACCTCATTTGACGCGGCGCCATTTAGTCACATAATTAGCCGACGAAATCCGCATGCTTCTGGATATGGATTTTGCCGCTGCGTGCGAGAGCTCAGGTGAGGGCTAAGGCACCTTAGGGGTTGAGTCTGCAGAAACATGTCAAACCACCGACATGGCTGAGCCACCAAAATGGCGGAAGCTCTATTTAGAGCCGTTTTTTGACGGGGCAGGTCTTCCGAAGACGACGGAATGCAGGTCAGATTGTGCCGAGAGAAGTCACGCACAAAGGATATGTGATGACTGTGGTGTGTCGACCGCATCTGCCAATGATCCATCGGCTCCCGGGAACTGCCTCCTAAACAACAGTGCCCCCGAGGATAGGCTAGCTGTGCACGAGGTAGGTGACTACAAACAGTCTGGTAGCCTGGCGGCAGACGAGCAAGATGACTGCGAAGTATCTGGCAGCCCGGTCATGAACGAGCAAGATGACTCTGAAGAATGCGACAAACGGGTGGTGGACCAGGAAGAGAGCAGCGGCACATTCCCTCCCGACTCCAACTTCTCGGTAGAAGACCTAGTCACACTGGTCATGGACTTCGCGGTCACTTCGGGATTGCCGTGGACACAGCTCGAGAAACTCATGAAGTTTGTGTGTTTCCTTTTGAAAAGAAACGACCTTCCTGACACGAAGTTCCTCTTCAGAAAATTCACAGGAATTTCGCTGGAGAGCTTAACATATCATTTTTACTGCCCCAACTGCACGTTTCTCCTCGCTGAATGTGAAGGCAATCTCAAGAAGAGGCAGAAGGTGCAGATGACGTGTGGGAAGTGCAATGAGAACTTGAGAAGTATACTACAGAAGCTCTTACAAGAGATGGCAATTTTTTTGTGAGCCTTCCTATCGAGCAGCAGCTCGCTTCTGTGCTCTCGTGCCAAGAAGTGGCCAGACTGCTGAAGTGCTTTTTGGAGAAGATGTTCGGGTGTGGTGACCGAGCTGTCATGTCTGAGATTACAGATGGAGCGTTATACTGCAAGCAACGAGAAGTGCTCAACGTACCCCAGCAAAATGGACCTAACCATGACAATGAACTCTGATGGTAGCCCTCTGTTCAATTCGTCGAAGTTTTCTATTTGGCCTGTCCAGATGACGATCAACGAGCTGCCTCCACATCTCTGAAACAAGCATGTGACCCTATCTATCCTCTGGTATGGCCAGTGTCATCCCGATATGACTTTGGTGCTGCAGGCATTTACCGAACAAATGAACTTACTTGCCCAGACGGGTGTGGAATGGACCTGCGATGGGGAGACCCTCCACTCAAAGGGTATAATTGTACTGAAAATTACAGTTTTGGTTTTCATTTTAGCCGTATGTGTTTTGGAGTTTTCACCAAGCCAAAAGAAACAAACTTGTTACTTCAAACCCTGAAGGAAGCAATCATTTTCATTTTCTCAAGTGCCTTTTTTACATCCATTTTACATCTCACTCTTAATCTTTCTTAAGTACACATGTCAAGTGCAGGTCAGCACCTAGTGTGACAGATAAAGCTTTTTTTCCTTCAATAAACATTGGGCAAGATGAGTGTTTTCCTAGTAAAAGTTCTAAAGCGCATACGACTAAAACAGTTATTTCCATTCTTTTTCTGTGATAACAGTTTTCAATTTGAGGGCAGTCCCTCTGTGATTTTTTGTTTCTTTTCATGGAAAGCATTTAATGCATTCATTTGTGTGACTGCTGTGAAGATACACTTTTTGTCTCTATAAATGAGTGAGGTGACATTGCATACTGATTATCAGGGAGTAATATCTGAAGCATGGAAAATAGCTCGTATTCCACATTTTGTTTTTTTCATGCGATAAAAAAAAGCACATTTAATTTGAGTTACTTCTTTTACAGCTGTACTGTCTCAACTGCTGCACTGATTCCCCAGCCAGGGCCATCATGCAGAACATGATGCAGTACAACGGGTACTTCGGGTGTGGCTGGTGGCTGCACCCAGGCACCTCTGTTGAAGGTAAGAGAATTCATTGACATGGTGCACAAGCTTTCTTTTTATATTCGCATGCCTATAAAATAATGCCACTGCCTATCAGACATTAGACTTTTGCTACCGAGATGGCCTCTATTGCTTGTCCATTCTGCATCTTTTTAATGTGTGCTGTATGCTAAACATCGGTACTGACCAATGTCTAGCACTGGATGGAGGTAGAAAATAAGAAAAGTTATTTGCTGGCCTCTTACATTGATATGTGTGTCATTATTTTGCTGGAATACAGGAGCCAAGATGTATGTTTTAGATCTAAAAGTGCTAAGCTTAGAAATCAATATTTATTTATTTATTTATTTGTACTCTCTAGCACCATACGTAGCATTACAGCAGAGGAGTGGGTTACAGATCACATTTATACGTCGGAAACTCGCACATACTGCACACAAACCAGCAACCAACAATATAAATAAACATAATTCAAAACAACACACAATAATAAAATTTCAAAAATTTAATAACGCCAAAAATATTAACAAAGAAATTCACATTGCATTGATCAGGTTCATAAATTATGCACTGTCAGCTAGTAAAATATCCGGAGGTAGCTCATTCCGTTCCGGTATAGTTCTCGGGAAAAAAAAGAAAAGATCCTATAGTTCGACATTTTATTTCGCGCATTTTTTTTGCATGATTCCTCCTGCTCAACATATAATGGGGAAGATGATTTGATTGGTTGATTTTTGTTAAATCATTATTAATAGCGTAGATAATCTTAAGTATATTTTTCTTACGCCTTTTGTCAAGAGATTCAATACCCATACAAGCTTTCATCTCTGTCACACTTTCTGCTCGAGAATAGTTATTTACAATAAATCTAACATCACGATTTTGAATGCCTTCTATCTTGTCTATGAGATATTTTTGATGCGGATCTCATACTGCACTTGCATATTCAAGGTGTAGTCTAACTAGTGAACGATGCACAGATATTGGTATCTCTTCTGATTATAGTAGATATTATAATGCTTTCTCCTCAAATGTATTTAACAGGGACTGCCAAGTACCCCGTTTCTGCAGCAAGTTTGCCTGACAGGACAAAAGAGGGCACGGAGAGCGACATGGCAGAGGCTTTTGAGACCAGTGCACATGTTCGTGGCATAAAGGGGCCATCGGCGTTGATAAACTTGCCGGCCAGCGTTCGACATTGTATGGAGCTTCAGCCTCCTACAACTACATGCTACATGCACTGTGTGCCGCTTGGTGTGGCACGGCAGTTTTTGGAGTTGTGGCTTTCCAATGTTGGTGCACCATACTACATTGGATCGCCACAACTCCTTAAGGACATTGACAAGCGACTGTGTCACATCAAGCCCCCACAGTGCATGGCACGTCTGGCCAGGTCTGTGCTTCTACGGAAGTTCTGGAGGGCTTCCGAGTGGCAGCAGTGGCTGCTGTATTTCAGCTTGGTATGTGTAGACGGCATTTTGCCCGAGCGTTACCTGAACCACTCCAGCCTGCTAGTGAGGGGTATCTTTTTGCTTCTCCAAGATGAGGTACTATCTACTGCCGACATTTCTGACAGCACAGACTGCCTGGTGCAGTTTGTTGTAGGCATTCAATTTCTTTACTCGGCGAAAGAAATGACATCTAATGTTCATCTGCTGCTACATCTTGCAAAGAGTGTGGTACTATACAGAGGCTACTTTGGGCACATTCATGCTTCACTTTTGAAGTGAACATGGGGAGGCTGAGGAGCCTCGTCACCTCAGCAAAAGGTGTACCTCACCAAGTAATGACTCGTGTGATGATGGCACACAGAGTCAATGGGCGCAAGGCGGTTGCAAGTCCTCACTACCGGGAGTTTCTCGGGTGCGGAGCTCCTGCGGAGGAGCCCGTTGCCCTTCTTGGCAAGCCAAGACCTCTGGAGGGGGCTTTGTTGAGATTGGTTGAGAGACAAGTTCCTGAGCAGATCACTGGCCCTGTTGTGGAACACGACAGAGTTCGCATCTCTGGACGTCTGTTCCATAGCAAGCAGTACCAGAGGCCAGACAAAACTGACTGCACAGCAGTAAAGCTGTCAAAAAATGTGTGCGCAAAGATTGAGCGCATTGTACCTGTGAGCTGCAGTGACATGAATAGGGTCTTTCTAGTTACTAGAAACTATGCTGCCTCAGTGTCATTCGGCACCACTAATATTATAAAGGTTGAGAGGTGGTCGTCGCAGAAGGTGACTGAGATTAATGCCAGTGCAGTTGGATGTCTCTGGCTGGAGTGTAAGGGAACATTTTTTTTTTTTGCAACTTTGTGAACCGTTTTTGATCTTAAGCATTTCTTCTTCTGAAATTGTTGTGCATATCAACAGGTTTTTTCACTCTTCGTTATTTATTCTAAGTATTCATGCCTCCTAGATTGTTTTGTTTTTGTTTTTTATCTTCTGTTCTGATCTTGACTTTTCTGTCAGAAGATTTTGTACTTTAACAATATTCTTTTATATCATGTAAGTGTCGTGTGTAGGTTGTGGTGCCTCGCTTATAGAAAGCGGAAAGTTCAAAAGAGGTTCACGCCACAGTTAAGGTTTTGCTTTTGGCCTTGTTACTGTTGTGTTACTACAGAACTTCTTTTTGGGGTGTTAGTTTTTGCGGGGTACAGGCACACTACAAACTGCACCAGGCCGTCTGTGCTGTCAGTAATTTGAAGGTAAATACCTCGTCTTTAAGGGGGGACACTGGCTAGAGGTTGAACTTTTGAACTACTCGAGTGATCGGAATGAAATTTTCAGGGGAGATTTAACTTAAGATGTAGGTGTACTGTGCAAACTTTCAGCTCTCTAGGACAACTTTACATACCTGCATAAGATGATGTGTCACTCTTCGTTAAGAAATCTATAATATGCAAATGAAGCTATTAAGCATCATTTTAACTGCTTGAGTACAAAGGGGGGGATGTGGGACTTTGGGCTATCTAGTTTTTATAACTCAAATGTAAATATTTCAGGAAGAGTGATTACCTCAAAATATGAGATGCACATCTGTCCTATGTCAATTTTTGAAAATATGTTCTTTTCTCAATGAGGACCTTAATGTAAAACAAAATAAAGTAGATAGCCCAATTCCCCAGTAAATTTCAGTTCAGAAACATCTTGATTGTGGTATCAGAATAATTTTACCTTCGAACAAAAGATTCCTTCGTATGATATTTGCAGCAAAAAGTGGAACTGAGAAAAATGCATTCAAACATTGAACTCCTTTACTTTGTTACTGCCTGACAATGTGTTGAAAATATTTTATATCAACGGAACTATTTGGCGCATAGTTATGAAATTTAGTGTAAGGGTGTATAATTAGTTTCTAAAACCAAAACTTCAAAATTGAAAAATTAATTTTTTCAAAAAATTTTGAAGCTTAGGCTCATGTCCCCCCTTAAGGAACAGTAAGATATTTCTACTAGCAGGCTGAAGTAGGTTTGGTAACGATCAAGGAAGCTGAGCTTTTGGTTGCACCTCATAATATTCCCATCTGGTCTAAATGAATATTTCTTTCCTTGGCTGGGGCACACTAGTTACCCTTCATTGTCTTGGCACCAAACTTTTCTAATTCAGTGTCTGTTCTTCACATAGTACTGGGCCTTTATGTGGCATGTATGTGTAGTGGTGAATTGAAGGCTCATACTCTCCATGTTCTTACACACCTAACCCTTGCTGTGGCCTTGTCCAAAGTAAATTTTATCTTGTATGCATTGCCCCATACTTACCAAAAATAATGTCATATTTTTTCTTGATTGTGTCACACAAGCTGTTCTTTTTTTGTGACGTGTTCAATAATGCCTACGGTAGTCCTGCTTCAGTTCATAAGAGTCTTGCAGACTGAGAACATGATATATATTTTTATTTTCGCATATGCAATGTAAGCCATGTCTGCATGCATTAGAATTTTGTGGAATTGACCTACCCATGTGGTGTAGCACATAAAATTACATTCAAATGCATTTTCTCAGATCTCGGACAGTGAATGCACACCAAACTCCTGTGCAGGCGTTTTCCGTGTTGATTTTAAAAAGAGCTTTAGGAAATTTATTACATTTACCTGTGTTTGTAGATTGCTTCAAAAAATTGGTTGTCACTGGGTTGCCATGCTTTTCACACTGCTTTATACTATCATTGTGGTGCATCATCTTTTGAACACCCAAAATAAACAGTATGAAACAATATTCAGTTACTTTGTACTTTTCCTTCCCACATGATTAACATGTCTGTTATACGGGGTGTGCATTTGATATACGTGCAGATTTATAAAAAAAATGGAGCATTCTGCATAAGTGAAAACCACTGCATTACTAGCAAAGTGAGAGCACATGCAAGTATCTTTTTCACTTGGGCATAAATAATTAATACTAATTCATCAAGGTGTCATTGGAAACTAGGGCACTTTTAAAGAAAACCCGATTTATGTGTTTGCAACATAATACACCGTGTGCTTTTTCAGGGAGCCTGCAGTATCTGCGTCAAAAACATAAACAATGTGCGTACGTCTATCAGAATAACTCGCTAAGTCCAGCACCTTCGCCTCCGTGCGTGAGCTGCTCTAAGTCAACCTTGTGGGGTCTCATTTGCCGGCTCAGCGCGATTACCGCTGGGACGGTAACCTTTGCCATTCTTTGTGCATGAAAATTACTTTTGTTTGCGTTCTCACAGCTGCCGAGTGCAAAACGAGGTGATTGAAGCTGACGGCAGTGCCAATTCAGAACCTGCCGGAGTCCTCCACTTTCAATGCTGAGAAGGCTGCCCGGTCCAGGGAGTGGAACATCCAAGAACGCTAGGCGCAACAATCGCTCGTACAGGGTGAGTTCTCTAGAGTGTATGCTTTAAAGTAGGAATCAAAATGGCGTTGTCATTTTTGCTAAGCTTTTTAATAGACTATCAGCATTAATTGGTGATATTAACTCGAATGAACGCTGCTAAACCATGTGAGTAGTAAAGAGACAAATATTAAATAGGAACTCAAAGTGTATGCTGTTTAAGGGCTCTGTCGAGCTGCACACAGTTGCGGCGGGTGCCCGTAACAGAGCCAAGTTTGCAACCGTGGCTGTATACATACACAACGTAAACTTCAAAGTGGACTCTGGAGCAGAGATGACCATGGTGTTGAGTTCATTCCCCGGCGTACCCAAAAAGCCTTCACCGACCAGAATGTGAGCTCACGGGCTCCAGAAATCACCCCCCGAAAGTACTGGTCACATTCCCTGCAATGCTGCAACGGAGGGGCAAAGTGACCATACAGGACATTCACATCATGTCATCACAACACCCTCCTCTTTTCGGTTTCCCAGCAATACAAGCTCTGGGCGTCATTCACTTTGTTGACAATGTGGCGACACCAGCGGTGCTTCAGAGAGACAGGCTTTTGGACGGTCTGGGGGAACTAAAGGAGAAATATGTCATCTCACTTTGACCTGGCGAAAAGCCCTTTGCTCTAAGCGTGCCGAGGAGGGTCCCGATCCCGCTGCATGACGTCGTTCAGGGAGGAGCTCCAGAAGCTAGAATCGTAAGCAGTCATCCCCAAGGTTGACCGCCTTACAGACTGCGCGGGCATGGTCGTTGTCGTTCCAACGACAGGAGGAGGCTACCGCATCTGCTTAGACCTTACACGCCTCATCGAAGTCGTGCTGAGGGAACGTCACATTTTACCTGCGGTTGAGAACATCCTCGGACGTCTCAGGCAAGCAAAGGTTTTCTCGAAGCTGGATGCCACTGCAAGCTTTCACCAAAAGAAGCTTTCTGAAGAAAGTCAGGAGGTAACGACATTCATAACCCTGATGGGAAGGTTCGCTGTTTCCACAGGCTACCTTCTGGCATCTGTTCAGCGCTAGAATACCTCAAGCGACAGACGAGTCGCATTTTAGAGTGACTATACTTCGTTTGAGCTTCCGTCCGAACGCAGCCAAAGCTACGTGCGGCCGGAGCCAATCACATGCCAGCAATAGGTCACGCGATCTCGCCTGCGCTTTTGTATCACTCCGCTGCGCCGCCGGTCGGCTGCGCCGCCCGCGCTCGCCGAGTATTCTGTCTCCTACGGGTGTATCAACGATATCGTCTGCTACAGCTTTAAAAAGTGCCCTTTCACGTTCTGAAACTTAGTCACAGGGGATGTCAGTACGTAGACTGGCCGCTGGCATCTGTATCCGATCTTTCCACCTGTTCGGCATAGTTTCGAGTTGTAAGTACACGTTGCAAGGTCCCCGATGACCCGGCCGTTGATGTTTCCTTGTAATGTCTGGATATACCAGGGCTCGAGGTGCAGTCCTTTCCACCAGCTTCTCGGCGTTCAATGTGATCGGCAGGTAAAGGTGGCCCGGACGTTTTGCTTGTTTACAACGCATCGGTACGACGCGGCCGGAGTCTCCTGCCGAATTTGAAAGTAGACATTCATCACGACCTCTCGCACCTGACGCCCAAAGGTGCCTTTGCGAAAGAACGTTTTGAAGCGACTGGGTGAGGAAAGCAGCGAAGCACATGATTCGGCAATTACGGGAACGAAATCACACAGAAAAACCGAGCGCTGCAGCCGTGTTGCCAGCGGATATACATGTTTTCACCAAACCACATGCATTTACATATATTAATAGAAATATAAACTTCAAAGATTTTATTCCTTTAGTTGCAAATCATTCTCAGCGGTACACATCTGGAACATTGTGCAGTTTTTACGCACAAAGCAGTTATTAGAGCGCAGCTCTTAGGGGCCCGTTCCCGGCTTGAGCGGCGTCGCCGTCGGCGTAACCAAGGTCACGTGACCCCTCCCAAGGTCATCTCAAGGTCATGTGACCCCCTGAAGGTCACGTGACCTTGGGGGTCACGTGGGTCATCTTGGTATCACGTGACCCCCAAGGTCATGTGACCCCTCAAGGTCACGTGACCCCTCCCAAGGTCATCTCAAGGTCACGTGACCCCAAGATGACCCCACGTGACCTTTTGAAGGTCACGTGACCCCCAAGTCACGTGACCACTCTGAGGTCACGTAACCCCCGAGGTCACGTGCTCCCCAAGGTCACGTGACCCCCGAGGTCACGTGACCCCCAAGGTCACGTTACCCCTCCCAAGGTCATCTCAAGGTCACGTGACCCCAAGGTGACCCCCACGTGACCCCCCCAGGTCACGTGACCCCTCCAGGTCACGTGACCCCCAAGGTCACGTGACCCCCTGAGGTCACGTGGGGGTCACATGACCTTGAGGTGACACCCAAGGTCACGTGACCCCCAGGTCACGCCTCCGCGAGGTCACGTGACCCCCAGGTCATGCCTCCGCGAGGTCACGTGACCCCCTCCCCGAAGTCACGTGACACCCCCCCCCCCCCCCCCCCCCGAGGTCACGTAACCCCCCCCCGGAGCATATTAAAGAATGAGGGGAGGAGGAGGAGAAGGAGGAGGAGGGGTCTACCCTCACCTCAGTACCCTTCCCTCCTCTTCCTCAAGAGCTGCGCTCCAATTCGGCGTTACAGGGATTTGTAAACGGCTTTCACTTTTAGAGCGCAGCTCTTAGGGGCCCGTTTGCGGCTTGAGCGGCGTCGCCGTCGGCGTCGCCGTCGGCGTCGGCGTAACCGCGCGGTGCATCATGGGAAATGTCCCATAATGCTCCGCGCGAGCCCCCCACCAAGGTCACGTGACCTCGTGGGGGGTCACGTGACCCCCCCGAAGTCACGTGACTCCCCTGAGGTCACGTGGCCCCCTCCTCGAGGTCACGTGACCCCCGCCGATGTCGCGTGACCCCCCGATGACGTCATCGTCACTGATGACGTCACCGGCATCCACATCGTCATCGTCGTCATCACTGATGACGTCACCGGCATCCACATCGTCATCGTCATCATCACTGATGACGTCACCGGCATCCACATCGTCATCGTCATCACTGATGACGTCACCGGCATCCGCATCGTCATCGTCATCATCACTGATGACGTCACCGGCATCCACATCGTCATCGTCATCATCACTGATGACGTCACCGGCATCCACATCGTCATCGTCATCATCACTGATGACGTCACCGGCATCCGCATCGTCATCGTCATCATCACTGATGACGTCACCGGCATCCACATCGTCATCGTCATCATCACTGATGACGTCACCGGCATCCACATTGTCATCGTCATCATCGTTACCCCTCCTCCTCAAGAGCTGCGCTCTAATTCGGCGTTACAGGGAGTTGTAAGCGGCTTTCATTTTTTTTTTTAAAAGAAATTACTTTTGTGAACTACTTTGTGGTGCGTAGGTCTTCTCTTCTCGAAGTTGCGAACCGTCCCTCAGCCTTTGGCTGCGCTCGGACGGAAGCTGGAACGAAGTATAGAAGGAGTTGTGAGCATGATCAATGACATTCTCGTCTTCAGTACATCAAAGGGCATGCATGATTGTCGACTCCAGCAAGTGCTGCAATGACTCGACGAGGCAGGCATCAAGCTGAACAAAAAGAAGTTTAGTTTCACTGCCTCACAAGTCAAGTATTCGGTGTGTTGGTCAGGGAGAGAGCTAGAATCAGCCCAGACCCTGAAAAGATTGAGGCCCCGCAGATGTTGCCGACACCCTTTGACACCTGCGGGGGGGGTGCGAAGACTACTGGGAATTCCGAACTATGTAGGATGCTTCATCCCCACCTCTCGGACGTCATAGCGCTGATCAGAGAACTGTGGCAACAGCACAACTCGTGGTACTGAGTACCAAGGCAGCAAGCTGCCTTTAAGAAGCTAAAGAGCGTGCTTAGCTCCCATATCTGCTTGCCCAAGTACGACCCGTCCTACCCGACGGTAGTTTCAGCTGATGCAAGTTCTTATGGACTCTGGGTTGTCCTGCTTCAAAATCAGCCCTCCGGCGAGAGACCGGCGGTGGCCTATGCATCGAGGGCTCCCACAACCACCGGAAGCCGCTACAGCCAGACCGAAAAAGAAGCCCCGGCGGTAACGTGGGCGGTCGAGTGCGTCGGGCGAGGGACAGGACACACGACGCAGGCAGGTCGCTTCGCATGGCGTGGACAGTGATGGCCCGAGGGAGAGTGGGAAGGGGAAAAGATGAAAGAAGGGGAGCGGAGAAATAGACCGATAAGCACGCAGGGCAGCGCAAACTAGCGCATCCCCGTTACGGTGATCACGTGGATGCCATTCAGCCAACACCGGGAGGAGAAACTCATGACGTCATTGTTCAGTGTCGCTCTGAGAAGTAAAAACAAACAAAACGTGAGAATGACGTAGTCATGCCTCTGACGTAGTGGCTCAACGTTGGCCACTCCAACTACGTCGCATTGACTGCACTGACGATATTGCCTCACGTCGCACGCTAGAGTTGGCAGATTTCGGCGACTTGGCTCACTTGACGGTTTGCTGGCCAGTTTATTAAATGTATAGACGGAATTAGATTGTGATATTTACATGGGCCCGGGTCTTCCTATATGACACTGAAGAGGGCTACATAGTTTTCTAAATATCAAAAATGAAGCGGAGTTGCCCTTTAAGTTAACTCCTGCCCTCTTGAGGACATAAAACGCAATCTCGTAGCGCAGTGGTGATGCAATCTGTTCAAGGGATGCTGAACCGAAATTTGGATTTCAGAAATAACAATGCAGTAGATGTAGGCGTTGCGCTACAATCCCTACAACACCCCTCGTAAGGCGATATCTCGAATAGACGGCGGTATTTTTGGAAAAAGAGGTCGAGATTGAACCAGGCCGACGAGGCGCGTGACATGAAGATACCTAGTTTCTTCTTTCTTCGCTTTGCTCCCTCAAGGCGGCGAGGCGGAGAAGATGCGAGGCCGTTCCTTCTCCTCGGAGAAACATGACGTGAACATTTCTGTCAAACGCGCCTCCCTTTCTTGAAAAATATGGTCATCCGTTCGAAATATTGCTCTATGAGTGATGTTTTGGTGTTTCTAGCATCCCCTTGCACGCTTCTGCCGCGTGTTTTGTGGAATCCAGATTTCGGTTCAGTATCCCTTTAACTGTTTTGGCGGCTGTGTTTTGGTGGTCGAGTGTGAGTGAAGGTGACATACACAGGTTCGACCACATTTCTTTGTAGGGGGTGCAGGGGTGGCGTGAGCTAGTCGAAAGCATCAAAAGCAACCCTTCTGGCTATGCCGCAGCTCGTGACGATATTGGCATTCTCTATGCTGACATGTCGTTTCCTGTAAAAAAAAATCCTCGTAGCTGCGGAATGGTCATAGTTTATACATGTAATTCTCTACACTAACCACTAAACAAGTAGATACATACTAGAATTATTTCGATAGTGCTTATATTACTCCAAGTTGCGCCTAATTAAGCAGGTTGACTTGCCGTGTAGAGCTCATGACAAACATCTTCATGACCCATAACATGTTGTTTTATAAGGAAGGTCATCCTTGGAACATCTAGCAATCTTGTGCCTTCCCTTACTCATTGGAGGGCACTCAAGATGGGTTCATGGACTAACACCTAACTCACAAATAAGCAGCATCGTGCAAAAACTCAGATTATACACTTGAGTTCAAATTATTCAGGCTGTGCCTTTGCTGAATATTTCTATATTTTGGCAGGTAATTATTGAAACCTTTTGTTATCTATGATATATCTAGCACTCAACAAACCTGCTGTGGCTTGATTTTTAAAAATAATGGCATGATTTTGTCTTATGTTATGCATACTGGCCATTTAGCTTCCTCAATCCAAACGTGAGAAAAACAGAAACTGACTTGAGGTTAGGAGCAGAGTACAAGGACATGCCCACTGTGACTCGTGATGGCTTTATTTACAAGTCAACCTTTCTTTTATACACCCCCATTTACATTCCCCCTTCCAGGAAACGCAGAGGCAATACATGTGCCCCACCCCTGGTGAAGAAAACCATTCTGAGCCACTCTCAAACACTCAAGATGTAAGCATCTCCATCCTCTGCTCTTGCAGATACATCCTAGTTCATGTTGCTTACTCTTATCTAAGATAATGAAATGCTCACTCTTTCTGATTTACCTAGCTGTTTTATTTGTCACATCATTTAAAACATGTGCCAGAAAAGGAGGTAAACATCATCACATTGAATTTGGTTAACTAGACCAGGGGTGTGCAAACTTTTGGACATGGGACCCCTGAGGCATTGGAACGCTGCCTGGTGCACCCCTTCTCCACCCCCCTTCCCTGCCTGTGCTGAACAGTTATTAATGAGCACAGAGTGGTCTTGTTGCATTTATGCACGGCTTCACCAACTGCATTTCTTCAAAGATGCTTTTTTTTTTTCGCTGGTTCTGTGCTTATATTTTTTTTGGGAGCTCTCTGCACCCACGGCCCCCTTTTTTTTGCATTTCTGAACTAGACAACACCTACTGAAATTTAATTGAGGACACAATGACTGTTCGCTTGCATTTCATGAATTGTTAGACCTTCCATCACTGCCTTTAGGTTTGAACAAGTGTTGCAATTACTAATTCAACAGTACTCGAAAGAAACCTTTAGAAGCCTCAGTGTGACAGGTGAAGTTTCACCAACACACTTCTCAGTATCCTAAGGTGGTGCCAGATTGATTGAAGAAACACAGTGTCGACATTAACACGACATCAGCTGGCACTCCGAGGCTTTTAGCAAGTTTCTTTCTGAATACCATGGTTCTGGTCTTTATATTCTGTGACACATAAGGAAAAAACCTATTAACTTCAGAGGACCCTTTACTTGAACTTATCTGACTTGTATTTTTTAACTTCAGGTTAACTCCCAGGCGAAAATTTTCAACTGGGACCAATTGGTCCCAGTTGCAACTGGTTTATGGAACAATTCCCAGTTGCAACTGGTCCCAGTTGGAGTTGTCCAACTGGTCCCAGTTGGAGTTGGTCCCAGCTGGAATTGGTCCCAGTTACAACTGGTCCCAGTTGGAGTTGGTCCCAGTTACCGCTGGTACCAACTCCAGCAACAATGAAACACAGCACAAAATGGAAGGTTGATAAGATTTGGAGAACTTGCTTGCTCAAAAACTTGGAGAATGAAACTAAATAATAGGTTCGGTGACGTACACGCTCCGGGTTTAGCCACTTGCTTGCGACGGTTGAATAGCTTTTTCAGAGGTAGTATTCTCAAGATGAAGGAAGATCGGCCGCTGGCGTCTGTTAGTGAAGACGTCCTCAGCTTCTCTCTCCATCGCGTGAAGAAAGGTGCTCACCCGTGATCCCGCGTTGTGCAGGTGAAGTCCTGATAGGATGTGGTAGCGCTCCCACCTTGCAATCTCTGTCACAACAGTCGAACATTTTCGAGGTAGACCTCCCGCCATTTTTGCCATCGTCCTCTCCGCAGCGTTTTCTCTTCCGTCCGGTCTTTCCTGGGTGCCCTCCAATCGCTGAACTGCATCTTTCCGCCCTCGAAGTTCACCGCCGCCACCATGGTGTGTGTACAGTTAGGTCGAAAGAAGCGCAGCTGTAGTTTTGACGTTTTGATAACGACGCCAACTTAGGCGATGGCGACCCTTCTCTACCGCGTCCGTCCGACTCCGGCATCCTACGCCGGCGTCAGCATAGGCTGCGCCATCTGTCGACAGCGCGTACAACTAATCCGCACCCGCGTGCCACGGCGGCCGGCTAGCTCTGATTGGCCAAAAGATAAATTTATTTATAAAAGAAAAAAAATACTGTAGGTATTTTAATAAATGTTTAATATATTTTAATAATGCACTAAATGTTCATTTAGGTGAACACATTTTGTCACTAATTATATTTTCCAATAAAAAAATTATTTAGTTAATTAAAATTTTTATATTATTTTTATAAATATATAAATGTACCCAGTAATTAAAAATTTACCTATTTGTATCAATCTAAAAATGTAAGTGTTTTTAGTTTTCTTCATTAGCAGAGGTCAGTACACCCCCAACTTGTCAAAATTGTTGCCCCGTGTGAAATGGGAACGGGAAAGACATTTGAAGTCCGACTGGGAATCGCTCCAACCAGTTCCTTTCCTAATTGGTCCCAGTTCACTCCATTCCCAACTGGGAGTCAAACCAGTTGACTCCCAACTGGGAATGGTTCAAACCAGTTGACTCCCAACTGGGAATGGTTCAAACCAGTTGACCCTCAGCTGGTCCCAGTTGACCCCTCAGCTGGTCCCAGTTGGACTCCTATTGGTCCCAGTTGATTCCCAGTTGGTACCAGTTAGTCCCAGTTGAAACCAGTTGAGGTGCCAACTGGTCCCAGTTAGAAATTTTCGCCTGGGCTTCAACAAAAGTTTTGTGCTTATTTTCTTTTCTGGGTGTGCTGTAATGGGCAGTATATCATCGACCACACCAATTTTCTGTTTAAACAGGTATAAAAATGATTTTTGAAACAAATTAAATGATTACCACACAGCACCTGGTGGATGTCGCGAATGCCTCGTTCGAAATGTCTATCTAGAAACATTGGTACACCTTAAAACAACAGAGCAGCCCGTCCTGCGGATGTACAACTGACTAAGTAGGCAGTGTGGTCCTGAACACGATTCCACTTTCCACTCCTTGGCGAGGGGGGAAAGCCAAGAGAGCAATGGACATGAACTTGTTGTAGCCTGATCGCTGGCATGCTTCGGTTGTTCGATCAGCTAGAGGATCATGTCGACAACTTTGTATACAATACCTACATGAACGCCGACATGTTGCACTATTCTGCGGCATAAGACTGCGGTTACTGCTCGGTACATTGCTACTACTAAAAACAAAACCACTAAAAAATAAAACAAGTTTACCACGGCCGTTTCTTACTCTTCTCGAAACACTTGTTTATCATTACTGGGCTGTAAGATGCTGATACCGCCAAAGGGCAAACTGTCTCAAATGCTCAATGTTACCACCGCCGTGATCGATGGCTAGGAAGCTACAAGTACTGCCATCAATATTATACGCCGGCCTACAGATCCCCATGTGGCGGGTTTGAATCCCGACCGAGGTGCCTGCAATCTCATGGAGGCTTATTGCGGAGAAGGCTTTTTTTGACGTGCAACCAAGCTTTCGGTTGCACGTCAAAAGATCCCCCAATGGTCGAAATTAATCCTCAGTCCTCCGCTGGGGTGTGCCAGATGCCCGTCGTTGGTTTGGCACGTAAAACCCCCAAATTTGATTTGACTTTTCGCGTAATCTGAGGTGGCGGTGTCGTCATCCTCTATCCGCATTGTTGCTGCACCATCGCAACACCTGACAGCAGGTTGAAAACTATGACCGTAAAATGAAAGTGCAGTGCTTTGCTGCCGCAGGATCATCAGAATCACGGAGGTAGTACGGGGCAAGAGAATTTCAGTCCACTGGCATCTCAAACAGCTTGGGTGCAACGCGTTGACGCCACTAAGCGGCAAAGCTCGTACCCACGCCAACATCGCCCTAGCCTTGCTTGTTCCGCGACAAACTGAATCACGATTCCGCCGGGTGTGACGTGATCTCTGCTTGCTGCTCTTCGGGCGCTTGGCAGGTTGGGTCGTATAGAACGAAAAATACAGCCATCTGTTCAAAATGTGATTGTGTGATTGTCATTTAGAAATATTGTTGATCATAGTCAACCTACTTCTGAACATAACAGGTACCGTATTTGCACGAATATAACGCGACCACGAATATAACGCGAGGGCAGTTTTTGATGCCCCCAAAAAGAAAAAAAATATTATTACTATTATAACGCGAACCGATGCCGCGTCAATTTCTCGCACTTGGGGGCATAGCAGAAGTGAAAAGTCAATGGAAATGGAAGAAATATCTGTTTATGTTTTGACTGCACTCATCCTCACTGCTCAGGTCCTTCCGTTTACAATCCACTTGGCGACTACGCAGGTATGCAGCAGCACGGCACCTGCTTGTCTGGTAGTTCTTTTTTCTTCCGTGGGAGCTCCTCGGCAGCCCACAATCCAAACAAGGCGCGGAAGCAGAAGCACCAACACACAAACACCAGACCACTCTGGAGCAGAAACTAAACAATGCGCTGGCAGAAAAAAGACTGCTGAGCCCGATACACGATCACACTTCTTGTTCTGGTCCCTCTTCGTAAACAAATGCCTCGTGTTGCACGATTGCGTAAACGCGGTCGGTGGTCTTGGCTTGGCTTGTGTTGATTTGACTTGGCCCGGCTTGGCTTGGCTCGAATTGGCCGGTGCCCGCATTCCCGCATGGCGCGCGCGCGTGCAGCGTGCGCGCGATGTAAAAACACAAAAGCGATAAAAATGCTTTTTTATGTTTTCTATTCGCCCCTTCACGTGGCCCAATGGCTAGAAAATGGCCCTCCACACCCCCACTTCTTTTCCCATTGGATCTTTTGCATTGAGCCGGAGGGATGACTTTCTCCTCTGGCTTTCTCCAGACTCGCGCGCCTCGTGGCTGAACTCGATTCCGAATATAACGCGAGGTGCGTTTTGGAGCACGTAATTTCGGAAAAAAACTCGCGTTATATTCGTGCAAATACGGTATATTTCATTTCTCATTGAAGTATTCCTTAAATACCTCGCATTTCTGCCTTTTTATTTACTCAGGAAAACCACAACCCTTGCATCGACTGCATCACAGCCCAAGACGACTCATTTTCAAGCAAGGAGAGGGAAGTTGCTGCCGTGCTGGCAGAGATGTCTGCAGCTAGGCAAGGACGGAACACAGTCTGCACTGAAGACCAGTCTGTACAAGTCATTTGCGGTGGATTTTCAGGGAAGTTTTGTCACTCCTCGCTGAAGACAATGTAAACACTTTCACTGGATTGCCGTCCTATTCTCGATGCACTGGTCTCATGTTATGAAGAGATGCACAAATTAACAAACAAACACCAGTTGTCAGCAAAGGATAGGGTAGTGATGATGATGATGAAGCTGAAGCACCATGTGTAAATAAACTTTCTGAAGAACTTGTTTGATTGTTCACTGACGACAGCAACTGGCATAATTTGCCAAACAACTGAGACTTTTTCTAAAGCACTGGCGTTGGTAGTGACTCTACCATCCAAAGAGGAAACCTTACGGAACATGCCAAAGCATCTCAAGGGTTATCAAACTGTGAGGCTTGTACTGGACTGTACGGAAATGACAGTCGCACAGCCAAAGTGTTCGAAGGGTGCACTAAGATTGTACTCCTTCTACAAGAAAAGCTTTACATGCAAGTATATGATTTCCGTTACCCCAGGAGGTATCATTGCACACATCAGCAAAGGGTACGGTGGCCGAGCATCTGATAAGGCAATATTTGAGCAGAGCGGGCTGCTCTATATGCTTGAGCCAGTGACGGATGCAGTCATGGTAGACCGTGACTTTCTCATTGACAGTATCTGCGAGGACCGACTAATTGCTGTGATCAGATTACCTTTTCGTAAGCAAAAACCAGCTTTCCAAACGGGATGCCTTGGAGACGCATAGGATTGCAGCTGCGAGGGTTCATGTGGAGCGAGCCATTCAAAGATTGAAAATTTTCAGACTTTTGTCAAGCAAGATTCTGTGCAACATGTTGTGCATGATGGATAATATTATGACGATAGTTGCAGGAGTGACTAACCTCTCGGCTCCCATTTTCGCGGACAACAAATTTTTCTAAGGGCCATGTCTGTAGCCTTGGCTGAAAAATTCAGTGTTGTAGAGACAGTGTTGAAATCTGTGCATGACGATAAAATGACTCCCGAGACAATAAATATATCCTTTTGTTCAGAGGCATGCTTGAAGATTTATATATACGCATACACTACCTGCAAAAAACAAAGCTTGAAAGCAACAATAACACATGTTACAATTTACAGACCGACACGATGCAACAGTTCATCAATCATTCGCACTTTGTAAATCTCTACAATCGGCTCTTTAAATATTCGAACTCGGTGGCGTCAAGGTGTACTTTGCACAGGCAGTGGGAAACTTCACTAACATACACAAAAAAGTGTGACATACTGATACCACACACTCCCATTTGCACATTCACCTGTGTTGCGTACAGTGGCTTCAGTTCGCAGTCCTTAAAATTAAAAAAAAGAAGTTTCCACATTCTCAGGGCAGTTCAGCTCAAGCAGGACCACCTTTCCCAGGCAACACTCACAGCTGAATGTGCAAACTCCATCTGGTGAACATTCTGTTAAAGGAAACTTCTTTAAAAGCATGAGGCCAATGTTTTGGATGACTCTCTGTCTCCCTCATTTTCAAGCAGCTTAAGGTATTTAAGCTTTACCTTTGGCTCCTTTTCAATGGCCGCCCTCATGGCAGCCGTTGTGATTGTGTTGATCCATAAGATAAGGCTCAAGAATGGTGACACACTCGCAGGCGTTTTGGACCGGAGAAAGGTTTTGGCCTTCGTCATGCACGTATGGGCAATGCTTGCAGTTACAAATCTTTTTCGGTATGAGTGCCAGGCTAGTGAGGATGCCTGGCTCCTTGTGGACTTTTCAATATTATGGAGGACTTCATCGGAACCGTAGACTCGACACAGGTGGTGAATAACTTTGTCTGATGTCTTTGTTTGCAGGACTGGGACCTCCCGATGCAACAATGTCATAGTAATTGGCACTGTAGAAGCAGGACCTTCAAAAACAAAATACACAAATATGATAATACAGATGCATATGCAATCAGCTTGAACAATTAGATGCAATACATTTTGCATGAATAAAATTTCTGTAGTACAAGCGTAACACAGAATGGAGTTCAGTCAACATCTTGATAAAGCACCAGGAGATGGCACCAACACAAAGAGACGACTAAGACTGTCTTTGCTATTTGTGTTATGGCTTACTTTATTTTCACATCATGTTCAACTTTGAGCAAACACGAATATTATAATTACCACGGCTTATTTCCTGGGAACAGCCGTTAGCATTCAACATTCTGAGCCGCTTCCTAGAAGAAGGGGAGAGACATCTTTGAACATGTTGCACTTCAGGCATTCAATGTAGGAGCATGCAACTTGTCCACTTCACACCAAAATTCCACCTGTGTTGCTCAATGGCACAGGCCGTAGCTGCCCTTCGTAGAAGCTGGCCCATCGATGCTTGTTGGTCTGTGCTCACCGTGATGGAGCTGGCCACTTTGATGTGGCAGAATTCAGAGTGGGACAGTGTCATACATTTGCTGGACAGACTTTTTTTTGGATGTTCACTGGCATTCAATATCCGTGCAGCTTAGGTCCTCCAGAGACCCGAGGCCAGTTCTGGAGAGGTGGCAGGTAAGTAGATGTAATTAATATACTAATAAAATAATGTCTAGTTATTTTGTTCATATGCCATTTTTGCACCAATACACATACAAACCTTTGTTTCGCTCATACTACTTGAAATAATCAAAGAAGGACAAAGTATAAAGATCCTATACAAAACAAAAATGTCTGCCGTTTGGAGACAAGCATTGCATTGCTTTGTGTCATTTCAATTGGCCATCTTCCCTGCACATGCTGTACAAACAGTCTGAGGTTAGTTGATTTTTCCTCTGGATTCAACACCGGGAAGACCCCGCAGGGGGCACCTGTGAAAGCAGGTGTTTGGAGAGTGGCGGCTCCACGGACCCCGAGCCATGTGGGTTCGCCCACCCACGTCTGGCTGTGCGTGGCGTACCCGTGTCCGGGGAAAAGGGGACCCTGGTGGTTGAGCTGAGCCCGGGGTATGTTTGGACCCTTCGGGGCCCCCCGGGCGAGGCAATACACCGCTTCGACCCCTGCTTCTCGTAGACAGGTGTCCTGGCTTGGCCCGACCAGGATGATTCAGTCAGTCGCCTCTTCTACCCTCTTCTTCCTTCTTTCACTTTTCCTTCCACCTCTTTCTCTTTTCTTCTGCACTCTCTTCCTTCCTTTTTCACCTTCTTAGGCGGCAAGGGCTAACCTTGAGTGGAAACAGGTCCTGTCCCTGCATCCACACTCGGTTATAGTGCCCGGGCAGCACTGGTAGTGTAATTGTGTCAGCCAAGCCTTTCTTGCTATGGCACATTACCTACCCCCTTGTTGGGCTCCGTGGTGGGCGGTGCACCCGGGCACTGAACTTTCTTTCCCATCTTTATGGGTTCTCACACTAAAACCATCCTCGATCGGCCCCTGAAAAGGGTCCGCATCGAAGTCCAAATTCCAAAAAAGATACCACCAACACCGTCTAGATTTCCAAAGTTTTTGATTCTTCACTCCGAAAATGAGAAACAGCTCTCGAAATTATCTCCTTTCCTTGTCGCAAAAACACTCGAGGGTGTTGTCGGTAAGGAATTCAAAGCCAAGAAAATGCCTTCCGGTGACCTACTTGTTGAGATTGAGTCAAGCGAGCAGAGTACTGCACTACTAGGTTTAACGTCCATTTCTGGATGTGACATCTCTGTCTCTCCCCACCGAACGCTAAACAGCATCCAAGGAGTTATTTCCGAGGATGACCTCCTTGACAGCTCTGAAAGTGAAATCGTTGAAGGCCTCTCTGACCAAGGTGTCACAGCTGCAAGACGTATCACCATACGTCGTGATGGGAACGAGCTCAAGACAAAACATTGTACTCACCTTCCAATCAACCGTCCTTCCTGAAGCTGTGAAAGCTGGCTACCTGCACTGCAGAGTTCGGCCTTATGTGCCAAACCCCCGTAGATGTTTCAAGTGCCAGAGATTTGGCCATGGCTCTCAGAGCTGCCGTGGAAACCCAGGCGAAAATCAGTCTACTTCCAGCTGAATTATGGAACTGGAAATGAGGCAGTCCAGCTGGATTGCAGCTGGACCCAGCTGGAATCCAGCTGGACCGCCTCATTTCCAGTTCCATAATCCAGCTGGAAGTGGACTGATTTTCGCCTGGGAAGGCCACCTGTGCGAAGTGTAGCAAGATCGACCACGAAGCTGATACATGTACTAACAACCCACGCTGCGTAAACTGCTCAGAAGCTCACCCAGCATATTCCAGATCATGCAAGACATGGAAAAACGAGAAAGATATCCTCACTTTGAAAGTTAAGGAAAACCTCTCTTTTCCTGAAGCACGCCGTCGCTTTGCATTCATGCAGAAAGGCGGCTACGCCCAAGTGGTGCAGCGGGGACCTGCACCACTGAAGGTTGCAGTGGCAACCCAGACGTCCTTTCTGGACTATGGGAAGCCACGGCAGTCCCCCACGCCCCAGCTGAAGATTCAGCTTTCGGGGCGTGCAATCTCGGCTGGGCGGTCTTCGGACCCCCCAAGCCAGAGTGCGAATCCTCGCGCTCAAACAGGGCAACAGCCTGTGTCTTCTCAGGCTGTTTCCCAAACTCAGGATGGGCCGGTGGCTGCCGCAACCTTCCCTTCTCCGCGATCTCCTTCCAGGGAGAAGGGTCGACATTCTCGCCCACACTCCCTGGAGAGACCATCATCGAAGGAGCGGCATCGCTCTCGTGCCGCACCTACAGTGCCTAAGAGACAGGAACGGGTGGACTTGAGTGACGCTTCGCCCAGCACCTCCTCTGCCTCTTCGGCTGGGGCTGGGCGCGGGCGGGGCATGGCGCCCCGTTCCCCGAACCTGAACAAAATGTGGAGAAAACCTCGCCTCAGGAAACTGAGGCCATGGATGAGTGTAGAGAAGTCTCCACTCATACGTCTGACCAAGACGATATGGAGTGGCAGACTTCTAAAAATAAACACAAAAGCAAAAAACCTGTGATCCCTCCAACGTGAGATTGTAAATTAATTTATGCCACATGCAGCAGCTTTAGAACTTTCATTTCTTCGCCCAGTGTTCCTTCTTTATTCATATTTTAATCTCATTTTTTAAACAGTGACCAATTTCCATTTTATGCAGTGGAACTGCCGTGGCCTTATCAGAAATATAGATGATGTAAATTATTTTATGGACGAGTTTAGACCAATCGCCCTCAGCCTGCAAGAAACACATTTAAATGACACTCATACACAAATTTTACGTCGGCACCAAGTTTTTAGGAAAGATAGACTCTCCCCAAATACGTCGGGAGGAGTGGCACTGGTGGTGCAGAGTGGTGTTGCTTGCTCGGAGGTACCCCTTTCTACGCCCTTAGAGGCTGTAGCGGTACGCCTTCTTGTTGACCGCTTGATCACAGTTGTTTCTCTCTATTTGCCACCTAACTTTGCACTGCATATATGTGAACTTGAATCACTTGTAAAACAATTACCTCAACCTTTTTTAATTTTAGGCGATTTTAATGCCCACCACCCTTTGTGGGGTAGTGCTCGCCAGGATTCACGTGGAGGTGTCGTAGAACGGTTTTTATTATCATCTGGGTTATGTCTTTTTAATGGGAGGGAACCCACATTTTTTAGTGCAGCACATCAATCATTTACATCTATTGACCTTTCTATTGCATCACCAATTTCACTTCCATGCTTTTCATGGACTGTTTTAAATAACCCTTTTGGGAGCGATCATTTCCCTATTATTTTAGAAAGCACGATGCCAATTCCTTCCATTCCGACACGTCTTCCAAGGTGGAAATTGGAAAAGGCTGATTGGTCTCTTTTTCGTTTGGAGGCTTTTATTGATTCATCTGTTCTCGTAAATATGAGCCCTGAAGATGCCACGCTGTATGTTACTGAAGCGATTATAAATGCCGCATCACACAGTATCCCCCAGACCCCTGGATGACTTCCCAAGAGGTGCAAGCCGTGGTGGAACGATGACTGCACCACAACACGCAAGTCGCAAAACAAGGCATGGTGCATCTTCAGACGTTATCCCATTTCTAGGAATTTACTTGAATTCAAGAA